TTTTTTTTTTTTTTTTTTTTTTTTTTTAAGTATTTAATCTTTTTTAAGAAAAATCATTAATTATTATGAAAGTCTTTAAATTATTATTTAACAAAGAAAGTTATTATCCACTTAGCCTTATAAATTGAGTCAGTCGAGTGACTAATGTTAATTAATATTTCCGTTAATTTTGAAAAAAAAAAACTAGTTTATACCACGATTGATTAAAAAAAAACTTCGAAACTGATTTTTTAGAAAAAGAAATTAAAACCATTTAACAGTTTTTTTTTTTCTCTGTTTTGTTAAATTCACTGTTTCATGTATTAATTATTAGTCGAGATTGATGATTCTCGGAAACAAAATCCTAATTAAATAATAGATCTTAAATATTAGAAATGCTAAAGTTGTGAAATTCTGTATACGTGCAATGTAATTGAAGAAGAAAGATGAAAAAATTGATTGTTCAATGGAATTATTTCTTGAAATTAATATGGACTTAAAAGTATAATGATAGAATATCAAAATTTACCGAACACCACAATGAATTAAAATTGATTTCTAAGAGATCGTGAAATGATCGCATACCAAATTAATTGAATTATACGCTTTAATCGCCTCTGGATTTGAAATGCTTGAGCTTAGATCAATGGAGAGATATATGCCAAACTGATGTAAAGCAGATTTTCACATGAGTTATCGATGATATTGAGAAATCGAACGCAACAGAGATTGAATTGAAGCATATGAAGATCTGGATTTATGTATGTACTATATGTTGTGAACGAACAAAGAGATCAAGATTACAGTATCAAAAAGGAAAAAGAAAACGCAAAAACTAGTATAACTCATCGTGTTCGATCTGATTGAATATGAACTCCAATTCAGAAGAAACAATCAACCATGGAAATACTCTTTCCAAGCTGAAGAAACTGTTTATCGTTCTCGGACGGAGTCAAATTCAGATCCAAGCACAGAATCCTTCCACCGCCGTTCGTCTTCTTCACCACAGGCGGTTGAGAACGCGGCGGATGAGATAAACTACTCGGATGATTTGTAAGTCGAGCGTGATCGGTCAACAGCGTCGTAGCTCTATGTCTCCTCATATGTCCACCAAGCGCTTGACCAATCGCGAATTCCAATCCACAGATACTGCACTCATGCGTCTTCGGCTTGGTTGGAGATCCTTGCGATGAAGATCCATCGGAGTTTCCGCCGTCTGGTCCTACAATTCGCGGCTTCTTGTGACTGGCGCGGTGGCCGCCTAGGGCCTGAAACGATGGAAACTGCCGATTGCACGTCTTGCACTCGAAAACACGATTCGGTGAAGACGACAAAGACGATTCGAAATCTGTAGTATTGGACGCGCTGCTACGAGAAAGTAGCATCAAGCAGTTCGCCATGGTTGTTATGCTCTCAAGATCCCTCTCTCTCTTCATGATGATGGAAGAAAATGTATTTCCCTCTCTCTCTCTCTCTCTGTGTCTTCGTGAAGAAGGTGGAAACGGAAATGGCGTTTTCGTTCCGATTGAGTGAAGGAATAGAGTTTTGAACCGGATTGGTTGTGTTGATATTTATATACGTGAGGAGAGAGAGAGGGGGGGAATAAGTTGACATTTTAGAATGACAGTTGTGCCCTCGGTTTCTTGTACCAGAAGTAAGACGAATACTGGAAAAGTTGGGAATTAAAAAAATTGGCAAATGATAAACTGAGTGAGGGCAGTTTTGTCATTTGA